GGTGGAAGAAGAAGAGAGGAGAGGAGGATACAGAGGAACAGAAAGGAGGAAGAAGCGAGGAGAGAAGAGGGCATAGAGGAATGGAGAGGAAAGGAAGATGAGAGAAAGAAAGAGGAAGATGATACAGAGAAATGGAGAAGAGATGAAGATGATACAGAGGGATGGGGAGGAGAGGAGAAGAGAAGAAGAGGAAAGGAGAGGGGGGAGGAGAGGAGAGGAGGGGAAAGGGTGAGGCAGGAGGGGAGAAGAAGGGAGAGGAGAGAGAGAACAAGAGAGGAAGATGATACGAAGGGATAGAGAGGTGGGGGAAGAAAAAAAAAAAAGAGGAGAGGAGAGGAAGTGGATACTGAGGAATAGCAAGAAGGGGAAAGAAGAAGAGAGGAGAGGAAGAGGATATAGGGGAATGGAATGGAGAGGAGAAGGAAGATGGGAGAAAGAAGAGGATCAAAAAAATCCAGAGGAATAAGGAGGAGGAGGAAGAAGAGAAGAAAGAAGAGAAGATGAAGGCGATACAGAAGAGCAGAGTGGGGAGGAAGACGAGGCAAAAAAAGAGGATACAGAGGAATAGAGAGGAGAAGGAAGAAGAGAAGAGAGGAGATGAAGGAGATACAGATGATGGGAAAGGAGTAGGAAGAAGAGGAGAGGAAGAGAATACAGAGGAATAGAAAGGAGGAAAAATAAGCTGAGAGAAGAAAAGGATATAGGGGGATAGAAAGAAGGGGGAAGAAGAAGAGAGAAGAGGAAGAGGACACAGAGGAATAGAGAGGAGGAAGAAGAAGTGAGGAGAGGAGGAGGATATAGACGAATGGTGAGGAGGATGAGAAAGAAAGATGAGGAGAGGAAAGGAAGAGGATACCTAGAAATAGAGAGGAGGAAGCAGAAGAAGAGAGGAGAGGAAGAAGATACCTAGGAATAGAGAGGAGGAAGAAGAAGAAGAGAGAGAGAGGAAGAAGATACCTAGGAATAGAGAGGAGGAAGAAGAGAGAGAGAGGAAGAAGATACCTAGGAATAGAGAGGAGGAAGAAGAGAGGAGAGGAAGAAGATACCTAGGAATAGAGAGGAGGAAGAAGAGAGGAGAGGAAGAAGATACCTAGGAATAGAGAGAGAGGAGAAGAAGAGAGAGAGAGGAAGAAGAGAGGAGGAGAAGGAAGAAGATACCTAGGAATAGAGAGGAGGAAGAAGAGAGAAGGAGAGGAAGAAGATACCTAGGAATAGAGAGGAGGAAGAAGAGAGGAGAGGAGAGGAAGAAGATACCTAGGAATAGAGAGGAGGAAGAAGAGAGGAGAGAGAAGAGGACACAGAGGAATTGAGAGGAGAAGGAAGAAGAGAAGAGAAGAGGAAGAGAAATACAGTATGAAGAAAAGAAAGGAGGTGGCAAAAGAGAGGAGAGGAGATGAAGGTGATACAGACAAATGGAAAGGAGAAGGAAAAAATAGAGGAGATGGAGAAGATTAAGAAAAAAGTAGAGTGGAAGATAAAGAAGGTAGGAGGTGGTAGAAAGAAAGATGAAAGAGAGAGGAGAGAAGAGAATGTCATATGGAGGAATGGACAGGAGGAGGAAGTAGAAGAGAGGAGAATAAGGAGAGGAGGTTACAGAGGAAAGGAAACAAGGGGGGAGGTGGAATAAAAGTAGTGAGAAAGAAGACAGGAATGGAGAGGAGGAGGAAGAAGGGAGGAGAGAAGAGGAGAGGAAGCAGATACAGAGGAATAGAGGGGAGGACAAAGAAGAAGAGATGAACAAGATACAGAGGAGGAAGAGGAAGAATAAGAGTGAATAGAGAGAGAAGACATAGAAGAAAGGGAGAGGAGAGTAAAAGGATACTGCCATGGAAGGACGGGGGGCCTATGAGGCAGAGGAGTGGTGCTGGATGGGGCCCATGAGGCAGAGGAGCGGTGCTGGATGGGGCCCATGAGGCAGAGGAGCGGTGCTGGATGGGGCCTATGAGGCAGAGGAGCGGTGCTGGATGGGGCCTATGAGGCAGTGGAGCGGTGCTGGATGGGGCCTATGAGGCAGAGGAGCGGTGCTGGATGGGGCCCATGAGGCAGTGGAGCGGTGCTGGATGGGGCCTATGAGGCAGTGGAGCGGTGCTGGATGGGCGCCTATGAGGCAGAGGAGCAGTGCTGGGGGGGGCCTATGGGGCCTATGAGGCAGTGGAGCGGTGCTGGATGGGGCCTATGAGGCAGAGGAGCGGTGCTGGATGGGGCCCATGAGGAGCGGTGCTGGATGGGGCCCATGAGGCAGAGCGGTGCTGGTGGGGCCTATGGATGGGGCCTATGAGGCAGAGTAGCGGTGCTGGATGGGGCCTATGAGGCAGAGGAGCGGTGCTGGATGGGGCCTATGAGGCGGTGGAGCGGTGCTGGATGGGGCCCATGAGGCAGAGGAGCGGTGCTGGATGGGGCCCATGAGGCAGAGGAGCGGTGCTGGATGGGGCCTAGGCAGAGCGGTGCTGGCAGGGGCCCATGAGGCAGTGGAGCGCGGTGCTGGATGGGGCCCATGAGGCAGGAGCGGTGCTGGATGGGGCCCATGGGCAGTGGAGCCCATGAGGCAGAGGAGCGGTGCTGGATGGGGCCTATGAGGCAGAGGAGCGGTGCTGGATGGGGCCTATGAGGCAGAGGAGCGGTGCTGGATGGGGCCTATGAGGCAGAGGAGCGGTGCTGGATGGGGCCTATGAGGCGGTGGAGCGGTGCTGGATGGGGCCTATGAGGCAGTGGAGCGGTGCTGGATGGGGCCTATGAGGCAGTGGAGCGGTGCTGGATGGGGCCTATGATGAGGCAGTGGAGCGGTGCTGGATGGGGCCTATGAGGCAGTGGAGCGGTGCTGGATGGGGCCTATGAGGCAGTGGAGCGGTGCTGGATGGGTAAGTAGGTGACTTTCTGAGGACACCAAAGTACATTCTTTTTTTGCTCAAACTGGGTTTGCTCTTTAAAGTGTAGCTCCACCCAAAAAAGGAAGGTCCGCTTTAAGCCTTTGTCCCCCACTCCCCATTAAGGATTGGCACCTTTGGGGGGTGGGGGGGGGGAGCGGGTACCCGAATTTGCAGGTACCCGCTCCCACTTCCTCTGCGATCGCCTAGGCGATCGGAAGCGGAAGTTGTCCCCCCCCCCTCCCTCCTCGTAGTCTTCTGGGACACGTGGCAGGTCCCAGAAGACTACAGGGCCATTCAAAAAGCGCAGCGCTTCTCGGACATGCGCAGTGGGCACCCGGCTGTGACAGCTTGCGGCTTCACACTGAAGATGCCCGCGCGAGGGAGAGAAGACGGCCGGTGAAACCAGCCGTGGTGAAGACACCGCTGGACCGAGGGACAGGTAAGTGGCTGTATTTTAAAAGTCAGCAGCTACAGTTTTTGCAGCTGCTGACTTTTTTTTTTTTAGGTGGAACTCCGCTTTAAGTGTGTGTAAACCAAATTCCCAGAATGCTATATAATCTTTAAAAGGTTAATGTACGTTTCCAGGCAGAAAGAACAGTAAAAATGCAGGCAGGGCGCCGGACAAAGCACTCGGGACAACATATATGTGAAATGGTTTGATACAGTAAGGTAATACTATGTGATTTTAGTGCTTTTAGTGAATGTCACTTTTTCACATTTTTGAATTTCCCGCCAGTTCTGTCCCCCGTACGTCCCGAAGCTCACAGGGACCGGCACCCAGAAGCCAGATCGGCCAGAGGAGATGGCCGGGGACGCTGACACATCGCGGGAGCGCAGGACAAGGTAAGTGCTGGAGGGATCCCGGAGCAACGCTGCAGTGTATTCCCGAGTGTAGCTCGGGGGGGTTACCGCTTGTGGTGCTGAAACTTTACCCCGAGCTACACTCGGGAATACCGCCAGGGGTAAAACTATGAACCTATCTCTAAATTGATTCTAGCTGTAGGGACTACAGGGTGGGGAAGGAGGTGGAGGGGGGAGGGTCACATGGGCATTGTCAGTGGGTCCTGGGATCCTGCCCTTGGCAGTGACTATGGGCCCAATATCAGTGATAAGCAAATTGGTTGGTAACAACCCAGGATTTTCCCATACTTGTGTCCATCCCTAAACCTCCTTACCAGTTCACTTCTCAGGGTGCAGAGTTGCTCTCTACTGTCCCTTAGTTGGAACCAAATTCATCTGTCCCTATTTCCTCCTCAGTTGTCCCTTTTTTTTTTGGTCTGAGATATAGACTTCTCTAAAGCTGCCCGTTTCTCACCACAGAAAGTTATGATGCATGACCATGCACAGCAGACCCCGGTCATGCAGGAAGTGTGCATTTTCCGTGCCTTCCTACCAGGGGTGTATTTACCACAAGGCATTTGCATAGGGCGGATTTTTTTAGGGGGGCAGCACTGCCCCTTGGAAGAAGGGGTGGAAGAAGGGACACATGCGGCATGAGGATCAGGTGGGTTCTGAGAGAGGCTGCGGGTTTCATGACGGTGGATGCACAGCCCGATTCTCATTCCCGGGGATTTCCGGAGCTGTGAAGGTGAGTGTCTTTCTCTCTCTCGCCATGGGGAATGGTGGCTGGTGTATGGGGGGCAGTGGTCATGGAAGGCTCTCTTGGGTGGGAGGCAGGGGTGTTGTTGGTCAGTGTCAGGCTTTCTCTGATTTTTGAGTTGCCTAGGGCAGCACAAAACCTAAATCCACCACTGCTTCCTACTCACCTTCCACTTTTACTGACTTTAAGAGGATGCAAGGGATTATGGGACTGGATTCCACACCCCCCTGTGATGTCATCACCCAACTACCATCATAGCTGTGCTCTCTGATGTTGGCAGTTAATTCTGGAGATTCTGGAGCTGCATGTAGATAAATGTTCAATGTTGTATTAGAAAAAGGAATGGTGGAGGGGTTTGGCATTATGGTAGACTAGTCAGTCTCAGCCAGTTTCTCCGGGGGGTTGGTAGGGGTTCCTTGAGCTGTGGCTGATTGGCCTCCCATCTGATGGTGCCTGCATGGTTCTGGGTCCAATGCTACTTGGCAGAGCCTGCAGCATGACACCTATAATATTTTTAGCTGTCTGGGGTCATTCTGATCACCACTGTAAGGAGCTCACTTACCACCAATGTAAAGAACATTCATTGACCACCAATTTAAGGGACCTTTTTCTTTCCGGCCTCCAATGTAAGGGACATTATTAACATTGACCACCAATGTAAGGGACATTATTAACATTGACCACAAATGTAAGGGGCATTTTTCCACTGACCACCAATGTAAGGGGCATTCTTCCCACTGATCACCAATGTAAGGAGCATTCTTCCCACTGATCACCAATGTAAGGGACATTCTTCCCACTGACCACCAATGTAAGGGACATTCTTCCCACTGATCACCAATGTAAAGGACATTCTTCCCACTGACCACCAATGTAAGCATTCTTCCCACTGACTACCATGTAATTGATATTCTTCCCACTGACCCCCAATGTAAGGAATATTCTTCCCACTGACTACCAATGTGAGGAGCATTTTTCCTACTGATCACCAATGTAAGGGACATTCTTCTCACTGACCACCGATGTAAGGAGCATTCTTTCCACTGACCACCAATGTAAGGAACATTCTTTACACTGACCACCAAATGGGAGGAACATTCTTCCCACTTACCACCAATGTAAGGATACTTCTTCTCACTGACCACCAATGTAAGGAGCATTCCCCCCACTGATCACCAATGTAGGGGACAATCTTCCCACTGACCACCAATGTAAGGGACATTCTTCCCACTTGCTACCAATGTAAGGGACACTCTTCCCACTGATTACCAATGTATAAAACATTCTTCCCACTGTCCACTAATGTAAGGGACATTCTTCCCACTGACCGCCAATGTAAGGGACATTCTTCCCACTGACCGCCAATGTAAGGGACATTCTTCCCACTGACCGCCAATGTAAGGGACATTTTTCCCACTGACCTCCAATGTTAGGGACATTCTTCCCACTGACCATCAATGTAAGGGACATTCTTCCCACTGACCCCCAATGTAAGGGACATTCTTCCCACTGACCCCCAATGTAAGGGACATTCTTCCCACTGACCTCCAATGTAAGGGACATTCTTCCCACTGACCACCAATGTAAGGGACATTCCTCCCACTGACCTCCAATGTAAGGGGCATTCTTCCCACTGATCACCAATGTAAGGGGCATTCTTCCCACTGACGCCCAATGTAAGGGACATTCTTCCCACTGACCCCCAATGTAAGGGACATTCTTCCCACTGATCACCAATGTAAGGGACATTCTTCCCACTGACCCCCAATGTAAGGGACATTCTTCCCACTGACCCCCATTGTAAGGGACATTTCTTCCCACTGATCGCCAATGTAAGGGACATTCTTCCCACTGACCCACCAATGTAAGGGACATTCTTCCCACTGATCGCGAACAACGTAAGGGACATTCTTCCCACTGACCCCCAATGTAAGGGACATTCTTCCCACTGACCACCAATGTAAGGGACATTCTTCCCACTGACCCCCATTGTAAGGGACATTCTTCCCACTGATCGCCAATGTAAGGGACATTCTTCCCACTGACCACCAATGTAAGGGACATTCTTCCCACTGATCATCAATGTAAGGGACATTCTTCCCACTGACCCCCAATGTAAGGGACATTCTTTCCTTCCCACTGACCGCCAATCTAAGGGACATTCTTCCCCCACTGACCACCAATGTAAGAGCATTCTTCCCACTGACCCCCAATGTAAGAAAACATTCTTCCCACTGACCCCCAATGTAAGGGACATTCTTCCCACTGACCTCTAATGTAAGGGACATTCTTCCCACTGACCACCAATGTAAGAGAATTCTTCTCAACGATCACCAATGTAAGGGACATTCTCCCCACTGACCTCCAATGTAAGGGACATTCTTCCCACTGACCACCAATGTAAGGGACATTCTCCCACTTGACATCTCTACTGATCACCAATGTAAGGGACATTCTTCCCACTGATCACCAATGTAAGGGACTTTCTTCCCACTGACTACACCAATGTAAGGGACATTCTCACTGACCTCCAATGTAAGGGACATTTTCCCACTGACCACCAATGTAAGGGACATTCTTCCCACCACTGATCACCACAATGTAAGGGACATTCTTCCCACTGACCACCAATGTAAGGGACATTCTGGACATTCTTCCCACTGACACTGACTGACCCCAATGTAAGGGACATTTTCCCACTGATGTAAGGGACATTCTCCCCACTGACCTCCAATGTAAGGGACATTCTTCCCACTGTGGGAGGCACCAATGTAAGTTGGACATTCTTCAGGCTTTCTCTGGGACATTTTGATGTAAGGGCATTCTTCCCAAAACCCCCAATGTAAGGGACATTCTTCCCACTGATCCACCAATGTAAGGGACATTCTTCCCACTGACCCAATGTAAGGGACATTTCCCCACCCCCCCATTGTGAAAGGGACATTCTTCCCACTGATCGCCAATGTAAGGGACATTCTTCCCACTTCTGAGCCATGTAGATAAATGTTCAATGGGGACATGGTTTTCCCAGGACTAGTCAGTCTCAGAACTCCGGGGGGTTGGTAGGGGTTCATTCTTCCCACTGACCCCCAATGTAAGGGCCATTCTTCCCTACTGACCAGCCAATGTAAGGGACATAATTTTTCCCATTCTGACCACCACTGTAAGGAGCATTCTTCCCACCAATGTAAAGAACATCATTGACCACCAATGTAAGGGACATTTTCTTCCCCTCCACCAATGTAAGGGACATTATTAACATGACCACCAATGTAAGGGACATTCTTCCCACTGACCACAATGTAAGGGACATTTTTCCCACTGACCCCCAATGTAAGGGACATTCTTCCCACTGACCGCCAATGTAAGGGACATTCTTCCCACTGACCACCAATGTAAGGAGCATTCTTCCCACTGACCACCAATGTAAGGGACATTCTTCCCACTGACCACCAATGTAAGGGACATTCTTCCCACTGATCCTCTAATGTAAAGGACATTCTTCCCACTGACCACCAATGTAAGGGGAATTCTTCCCACTGACTCACCAATGTAAGGGACATTCTTCCCCACTGACCCCCCAATGTAAGGAATATTCTTCCAACTGACTACCAATGTAAGGGACATTTTTCCCACTGACCACCAATGTAAGGGACATTCTTCCCACTGACCACCAATGTAAGGAGACATTCTTCCCACTGACCACCAATGTAAGGAACATTCTTCCCACTGACCACCAATGTAAGGGACATTCTTCCCACTGACCACCAATGTAAGGAGACATTCTCCCCACTGATCTCCAATGTAAGGGACATTCTTCCCACTGACCACCAATGTAAGGGACATTCTTCCCACTGACCTACCAATGTAAGGGACACTTCTTCCCACTGACCACCAATGTAAAACATTCTTCCCACTGACCAATGTAAGGGACATTCTTCCCACTGACCCCCAATGTAAGGGACATTCTTCCCACTGACACCAATGTAAGGGACATTCTTCCCACTGACCACCAATGTAAGGGACATTCTTCCCACTGACCCCCAATGTAAGGGACATTCTTCCCACTGACCACCAATGTAAGGGACATTCTTCCCACTGACCACCAATGTAAGGGACATTCTTCCCACTGACCCCCAATGTAAGGGACATTCTTCCCACTGACCCCCAATGTAAGGGGCATTCTTCCCACTGATCACCAATGTAAGGGACATTCTTCCCACTGACCCCCATTGTAAGGGACATTCTTCCCACTGACCCAATGTAAGGGACATTCTTCCCACTGACCACCAATGTAAGGGACATTCTTCCCCACTGATCATCAATGTAAGGGACATTCTTCCCACTGACCCCCAATGTAAGGGACATTCTTCCCACTGACCGCCAATGTAAGGGACATTCTTCCCACTGACCACCAATGTAAGGGACATTCTTCCACTGACCCCCAATGTAAGGGACATTCTTCCCACTGACCCCCAATGTAAGGGACATTCTTCCCACTGACCTCCAATGTAAGGGACATTCTTCCCACTGACCACCAATGTAAGGGACATTCTTCCAATGATCACCAATGTAAGGGACATTCTTCCACTGACCACCAATGTAAGGGACATTCTTCCAACGACCACCAATGTAAGGGACATTCTTCCCACTGACCACCAATGTAAGGGACATTCTTCCCACTGACCACCAATGTAAGGGACATTCTTCCCACTGATCACCAATGTAAGGGACATTCTTCCCACTGACCACCAATGTAAGGGACATTCTTCCCACTGACCCCCAATGTAAGGGACATTCTTCCCACTGACCTCCAATGTAAGGGACATTCTTCCCACTGACCACCAATGTAAGGACATTCTTCCCACTGACCACCAATGTAAGGGACATTCTTCCCACTGACCTCCAATGTAAGGGACATTCTTCCACTGACCACCAATGTAAGGGACATTCTTCCCACTGACCACCAATGTAAGGGGAATTCTTCCCACTGATCACCAATGTAAGGGACATTCTTCCCACTGATCACCAATGTAAGGGACATTCTTCCCACCACCAATGTAAGGGACATTCTCCCACTGACCTCCAATGTAAGGGACATTCTTCCCACTGACCACCATTGTAAGGGACATTCTTCCCACTGACCACCAATGTAAGGGACATTCTTCCCACTTACCCCCAATGTAAGGGACATTCTTCCCACTGACCCCCAATGTAAGGGGGCATTCTTCCCACTGATCACCAATGTAAGGGACATTCTTCCCACTGATCACCAATGTAAGGGAGCATTCTTCCCACTGATCCCCAATGTAAGGGACATTCTTCCCACTGACCACCAATGTAAGGGACATTCTTCCCACTGACCCCCAATGTAAGGGACATTCTTCCCACTGACCCCCAATGTAAGGGACATTCTTCCCACTGATCACCAATGTAAGGGACATTCTTCCCACCGACCCCCAATGTAAGGGACATTCTTCCCACTGACCCCCAATGTAAGGGACATTCTTCCCACTGACCCCCAATGTAAGGGACATTCTTCCCACTGACCCCCAATGTAAGGGACATTCTTCCCACTGACCCCCATGTAAGGGACATTCTTCCCACTGACCCCCAATGTAAGGGACATTCTTCCCACTGACCACCAATGTAAGGGACATTCTTCCCACTGATCACCAATGTAAGGAGCATTCTTCCCACTGATCACCAATGTAAGGGACATTCTTCCCACCGACCCCCAATGTAAGGGACATTCTTCCCACTGACCCCCAATGTAAGGGACATTCTTCCCACTGATCACCAATGTAAGGGACATTCTTCCCACTGACCCCCAATGTAAGGGACATTCTTCCCACTGACCCCAATGTAAGGGACATTCTTCCCACTGACCCCAATGTAAGGGACATTCTTCCCACTGACCACCAATGTAAGGGACATTCTTCCCACTGATCACCAATGTAAGGAGCATTCTTCCCACTGATCCCCAATGTAAGGGACATTCTTCCCACTGACCACCAATGTAAGGGACATTCTTCCCACTGACCCCCCAATGTAAGGGACATTCTTCCCACTGACCCCCAATGTAAGGGACATTCTTCCCACTGATCACCAATGTAAGGGACATTCTTCCCACCGACCCCCAATGTAAGGGACATTCTTCCCACTGACCCCCAATGTAAGGGACATTCTTCCCACTGATCACCAATGTAAGGGACATTCTTCCCACTGACCCCCAATGTAAGGGACATTCTTCCCACTGACCCCCAATGTAAGGGACATTCTTCCCACTGACCCCCAATGTAAGGGACATTCTTCCCACTGACCACCAATGTAAGGGACATTCTTCCCACTGAGTGCCAATGTAGGAGAACATGATTAATAATTGTTAGCTGGGGTTCCCCGAATTATTTCAAGGATTCCTCTGGGGCGAAAAGGTTCATATAGTCTGCAGTCGACTTTAAGTCTGCTTCCTGAATATAAAGGCAAGCGACGAATTGTATAAATAGAAAAAAGAAATAATGGGAACATACACTATGAAACACAAACATCCACCTGGTGCCAAAAGTCGTTTGTACACAATTGTTGGTGTTTATGCTACTGGGACATAACCGGGATAATGGAAGGACGCTTGGATCATCCACTTCTATCCTAGAATAGCCTACAAACCACTCTGTGTATTAAACACAAGTCTCTTGGACCACCTGGTGGCTGTTGGTGGTGTTGTACCCAATTTCTATTTTTTTTTTTTTTTGGAAGGCTCGCTTGACTTTTCTAGACATCAGCTACTGGGAGTATTTTCATTGGCACACTAGGAATATTTTCAGTAATATTTATAGTAATATTCCAGCAGACATTTAACACTCCGTACTGAGCAAATCTCATAGAGAAGCCTTTAATTCGCTCTATCCATCCAGATCCCCAAAGATGAATTTGTCTCCAACTGTTCTGGTGCTAATCTCTTACGCCGGTCATAATTTAAAGAACGCCTTAATCTGCTTAGGGGAGTTTCAAGAAGCGCAGATAGTTTGCAGACTGTAAAATATTTTTTTTTTTTATCCATTTCACGATAAAAGCAAGCTGAGCTACATGAGAGAGAGAGAGAGAGAGAGAGAGAGAGAGAGAGGAGAGAGAGCTCCGGATTTAGTTAGCGTGATGTATAAGCACTTGCTGTCTTCAGTGGGTCTTAAGCATCTTAAAGAGCCCGGAAAGTGCTGACTCGGAATATTCAACTTAAGATAGTTTAGAAGTCAATGGACATTGATTGCAAGATCTGTCTCATTAAAGTAGCCGAACACTTTCTCTGGAAATGTAAATAACCAACAGGAAACTGCGCTTCCATCCAGACCATTGCCTGAGACCTCTCTGTGGAGCACATTAAATGAAACAATATTTTAACTCCTTCCAACCTAGACCCACGCTCAGGTCCTTTGCCGTGTTATTATCGTAGGTGATCAATGAACTGGATATTCCATTTAATGAAATATCCATCAGTATTACTTGCCATTCCACCATGAATAGTTCTCTATGTCTGTGAAGGTTCTCATTTATCCTGGTCATGGAGAGTGGAAACACCATGAGGGATCAGGGTCCAATGCCATAACCAGGGGCGAACTGTCAACTCATTGGGCCCCCGGGCAATAGGGGATCATGGGGCTCCTGTGTCCTTGGCCAAACTCAATGCAGTGCCCGAGTTTCCAAATGGTCAGTCCGCCCCTGGCCATAACACAGCTTGTCCAACTTGTTATTTCCTGGCTATTTAAGATCTGCAAAGTAATTATTGAATCTAACATAGGAAAACTGGCTGTTCCACCATGGAACAATCATTTACTATGTCTGTGAAGGTTCCCATTTATCCAGATCATAGAGAATGGGGACACCATAAGGTATCGGGGTCCAAAGCCACATCAAAGCTTGTCCACCTTTATATTTCTTGGCTGTTATACAACCTGCAGGGTGAACCATAGATCTAACATAGAATAGCTGGCAGTTCCAGTGTGGATCATTTACCATGTCTGTAAAGGTTCTCATTTATCCAGGTCATGGAGATTGGAAACACCATGAGGGATAGGAGTCCAATGGCAAGTCACAATTAGTTGAACTTCATATTTCTTGGTTGTTTTTCCCAGTGCCATAACACAGCTTGTCCAACTTCTTATTTCCTGGCTATTTATGACCTGCAAAGTAATTCTTGAATCTAACATAGGAGAACTGCCTGTTCCACCATGGAACGATCATTTACAGCAAGTCACAGTTTGTTGAACGTCATATTTCTTGGTTGTTTTTACAACCTGCAATGTTATCCTTAGATTTAATATAGTACAACTGACCATTCCACCATGGATCGTTCACCATGTTTGTGAAGGTTCTCATTTACCCAGGTCATGAATAATGGGAGAGTCATGAAGAATGGGAGAACCATGAGGAATAGGGGATCCAACAGCATGTTTCAGCTAGTCTATTGTTGTGTTTCTTGGTTGTTATACGGCCTGTAGAGTGATCTTTAGATCTAACAGCTGGCCTTTCCATCAGGGGTGAGTGTACATTCTTTCCCTGTAGAAGAGAACCGATTCATCCTCAGGCTTTGGTGCTCCTTTGAAGAAAAGTGATTGTTGCATGTGTGCATTAGAAATGCATCTCTGTATATCTTTATGTCTTTGTCTCTTTCTCTGTTGTTCTGCAGCATATATGGGGGGTAACGTCACCTTGAAGAGTGGGAACACCATTGGTCCAACAGCATGTCATAGCTTGTCCAACTTTGTATTTCTTGGCTTTTATACAACCTGTAGAGTGATCTTAAGATCTAATATGAAGAATGATCCACCCTGGATCAGTCACCATGTCTGTGAATGTCCAGGTCTTGGAGAATAGGAACTCCATGAGGGATTAAGGTTCAAAAGTATGTCACAGCTTGTCCAACTTCATATTTCTTGGCTGTTATACGATCTACAGAATTATCCACAGAGCTAGCATAAGACAGCTTGCCATTCCACCATGGATAGTTCACTATGTCTGTGAAGGTTCTCATTTATCCTGGTCATGGAGAGTGGAAACACCATGAGGGATCAGGGTCCAATGGCATAACACAGCTTGACAAACCTCTTATTTCCTGGCTATTTATGACCTGCAAAGTAATCCTTGAATCTAACATAGGAAAACTGACTGTTCCACCATGGGTCGATCATTTACTATGTCTGTGAAGGTTCCTATTTATCCAGATCATAGAGAATGGGGACACCATAAGGTATCAGAGTCCAAAGGCACATCGAAGCTTGTCCACCTTTATATTTCTTGGCTGTTATACAACCTGCAGGGTGAACCTTAGATCTAACATAGAATAGCTGGCAGTTCCACTGTGGATCATTTACCATGTCTGTAAAGGTTCTCATTTATCCAGGTCATGGAAATTGGAAACACCATGAGGGATAGGGGTCCAATAGCAAGTCACAGTTTGTTGAACTTCATATTTCTTGGTTGTTTTATGACCTGCAACGTTATCCTTAAATTTAATATAGTACAACTGACCATTCCACCATGGATCGTTCACCATGTTTGTGAAGGTTCTCATTTACCCAGGTCATGAAGAATGGGAGAGTCATGAAGAATGGGAGAACCATGAGGAATAGGGGATCCAACAGCATATTTCAGCTAGTCTATTGTTGTGTTTCTTGGTTGTTATACGGTTCTCATTTATCCAGGCCATGGAGATTGGAAACACCATGACGGATAGGGGTCTAATGGCAAGTCACAGTTTGTTGATCTTCATATTTCTTGGTTGTTATACGACCTATAGAGTGATCTTTAGATCTAACAGCTGGCCATTCCGTCAGGGGTCCTTCACCATGTCAGTGAAGGTATTAATATGTTCAGGTCATGGAGAATAGGAACACCTTGAGGGATCAGGATCCAACAACATGTCACAGCTTGTCCAACTTTGTGTTTCTTAGCTGTTATATGAAGAGTGATCCTAAGATGTAAAATAGAACACCTAGCTGTTCCACCATGAATCATCCACTATGTCTGTGAAGGTTCCCATTTATCCTGGTCAAAGAGAATGGTGACACCATAAGGCATCGGGGACCAAAAACACATCATAGCTTGTTCACCTTTATATTTCTTGGCTGTTATTCAACTGGTAGAGTGATCCTTAGATCTAACATAGAACAGCTGGCAGTTCCAACATGGATCATTTATCCTGGTCATGGAGAGTGGAAACACCATAAGATATCAGGGTCCAATGGCAAAACACAGCTTGTCCAACTTCCCATTTTTTGGCTATTTACGACCTGCAAAGTAATCCTTGAATCTAACATAGGAAAACTGGCTGTTCCACCATGGATCGATCATTTACTATGTCTGTGAAGGTTCCCATTTATCCAGATCATAGAGAATGGGGACACCATAAGGTATTGGGGTCCAAAGGCACATCGAAGCTTGTCCACCTTTATATTTCTTGGCTGTTATACAACCTGCAGGGTGAACCTTAGATCTAACATAGAATAGCTGGCAGTTCCAATGTGGATCATTTATCTAGGCCATTGAGATTAGAAACACCCTGAGGGATCAGGATCCAAGAGCATGGCACAGCTTGTTTATATTTCTTGGTTATTATACAACCTGCAAAGTAATCCTTAGATCTAATATAGGACAACTGGATTCCCCCTTATCTATGTTCTCATTTATTCAGGTCATTGAGAATAGAAACACCGTGCGGGATAGGGGTCCAACAGCAAGGCACAGCTTGCGCAACCTCATATTTCTTGGCTGTTGTATGACCTGCAGAGTGATCCTTCGATCTAACATAAGGCAACTGGGCTATTCCATCATTGATTGTTGACCATGTCTGTGAAGGTTCTCATTTATCCAGGTCATGGTTGGCTAGCAGTAGTTTGTCAAATTTCTTGGTTTTTATAGCAAGACCTTTTTCAGTTCTAAGTTTCAGGAAATACCTTTTTATTCGCACTGACTAACACAGACACCTTGATCCAGGGGAATGTGTCAAGACAGATGTTGATTGTCCAATTTTGCAGGGGTGGAAACTTTGGAATCCCCTGTTTTATATAATCCTATCCTTGGTGTAAGGAAGTCTGCATTGTGTTGCACATGGCTTAAGCTACCAAGGTAGTATGACAGTTGACTATATGTTTTGAGAGTTAATGGAGGATTAAGGAAAAGGGGGATTTCCTTGAAATCTCATTAATCCAGATGACAACTGTTACACTTCTT